GCCGATAGTTATAAGCTATCCCGCATCACGGAAAAATAAAATAAAATATTAACTACATTAACAAGTATCCTATCATCAATAAATCTGAGGAAATCGAGGTCGAGGAACGTGAAAAAAGGGTAAGAAGTTGGTGCCCTAACTATCTATTTTTAATGTCGCTGCTTCTATTGACCATCACGAAAATTTCAGAGGAAAATCACGCGTCACTCGCGGTGTGAAAATAGTAAGTCACGCGTCACACTGCTATGCCCAATCACGCCTTCCCGCCTGAAGCGGCTCATTTGAGCCGGATCACGCATCACGCTGATAATTTGGGTCCCGTCACGCGTCACGGAAAACCCCTTTGCCACCCTTAGACAATGGAGTCGTGAAAAGTTTACAGTTTTTTCCCTTAGCCCTCCGAGTTATATTAGAATTTTAATTTATCGAACGTGGGCAATTGAAACTCATCGTCGTCCATTTTCACCCCCAAAACCCGACGCATATCTGTGCATGCAAATAGATTTAGTGCCGGACAAAAACTTGTTTGAAAATCAGGGCCTGGAAACCTTTCGGACCCGAAGGCAAATTTTAAAATCTAAACCTTTTGAATATTAGCACAGTTCCAAGCACAAAAACCAGTCAATTTTGCTTCATTAGCTGGTTGTTACATTGTATGCGGTTTTCAGATCTTAAAGGCAAACACGACACACTCAAAACAGCGCCCGAAAAGTTATCTAGACTTTCGAGAAACAGGCCCCTGCGCCAGGCCGTCGCGGGCCCCTGGGCAGAACCCTTGCCTAGTCCCCGTAGTCCCCGTACGGCGTTTTCCCAGTCCCTCTCGGTCAATTCGTTTCGGTGACGTATCCGAGGCGAACGGGCGGGGAACGCCTAGACAAGAACAGAATGCGCATGCGCGCGTTACTTTTTGAAATTCTAAGATGACGTAAATGTTGTGAGCACCAAGCAAGCAGGCAGCAGGAGATTTTGGTTATTAACCACTCTTGTGGATATTTGTAGGATCGACTTTTGTCGATCGGCTTTGAAAAGTCATCAGAATGTTATTCATAGTCCTATGAAGATTTATACTGCTCCTTCAATCTCATCATTCCAACTGAGCATGGACCACGTGACCCGAAACGCTTTGGCCGCGAGGAAAAATGAGGCTTAGGGACTAGGCAAGGCAAAACCCTACGTTTTGCAATATCTTAGCGATTTCTCGAGAGCTGATTAGCCATAGTTTTTATCTTCAATTAGAGGACAGGCACCAAAAAAATTTTATTTATATGTAAGAAGGTCATTTGCCGGACATCAATATTTCTGTTTAGTGTAGTTTCGGTATGATAATAACACAGCTCATACAGTAAAATGGCGTTCACGGCAAGAAACAAGAGAAAACTTTTAAAATGCTTTTCTAAACTTGAAAGAACAGCCTGACACGATTTCTGCTCCTGTACACTGTTCTGAGCAACCTTGAAAAACTACCAAGCACAGCAGGTTAAATGAAAATGTTAAAATGAACAAGATGAAGATGAAGATTACTTACTTTATTACATCCACTTTGAAATCACTGGCTATCCGTGCAACCTGATTGGCTATCAGCAGTGTTATTTATTCCTAAATCGCACCATTTTTTGCTCTAAATCGCATCTGCTCCAAATCGCGTCAGTCATGTTCTAAATCGCATCATTTCTGTTTTAAATCGCACCATTTTTGTTCCATATCGCATCATTTCTGTTTCGAATACAAAATGAGGTGTAAAAGCCTTTTTGTTTCGGCTTTTTCACAAACCGGCTTCTTGATCAATAAAATACAGTATCCGTACTGACTGAATTCTGTGATTTCAAAATGGCTGTAATCAAGTGATAATTGAACTTCGTGTCGTGCAATTTTGGTCTGAAATCATACTTGTGATTTCAAATCGAACTCCTGCTGCGCGCTCGTTTGATTTTGAAATCACAAGTATGATTTCAGACCAAATTTCACTCCACTCAGTTCAATCACCATTATTAATCATGACACTTCTTATTACTCGGCAAGCGATCGGATCTTCCTAGAGTTTCCCGACTGTCCCAGGCCCCCAATATTAATCGGAAATAGCTGACCGCGTCACTTCAAAGTTCAGTTTTGGATGAGCCTTGTCCTGTCTTTTAGTAGTCGCCGTTAGCGACCGACTGACTTATGTAAAAACCCAATGCGAGGCTGATAAAAAAGAAAAGATAATTTAATTAATGACCCCGATCAGGAGCCTGATCGGCTCCTGTCCCGATTCATTCCGTTTTGCATACGCAATCTCTGTGCTACGGCCTTTGGCAAAAAAATTGTTGGTAGTACAAAGGCAAGTATTTTTTACAGGTCACATTCCACAGGTCAGAATACAGGTCACCGTAAACAAGGCCAAAAGTGTTTCCTAGCCCTAATCCTTATCAAAAAAGTTGTTTTTAATCTAGGGGAAATATATCGAAATTACTTGGTTTATATAACTACAGTGGAGCCTCGATATAACGAACCACTATGCAACGAAGTCCTCGATATAACGAACATTATTAAAAACTGAATCATTGGATAATGCAATTCTAGCATTTTGATTGGCTTAGCCGTTATGGTATATACTAGAAGTGGATTGGTTAACCTCGATATAACGAACCACTATGCAACGAAGTCCTCGATATAACGAATTCTTCCATATTTTGAACTGAACTAAAAAATTCTAATTCAGTGAAATACCTCTATTTATCCTTACGATTAATGTGAATCTTGTTTACGTGTAAAAAAGTTTGAAAACAAATGTAAAAACAAGCACAAGGTACAAAAAAAGTTGTCGAAGGTTCAAACGTGCACGACTGACCTTGCTTCCTATTCGCTAACGCAATGACAGTTCTGACAGTTGACTTTGAAATGGCTTTCTGGAGCGCGCGCTCAGGATAAAAACAAACAATATTATTGCCGTTTTCTTTTTTTTTCTGATTTTTATTCAGTTATGCGATTCAAGGAAAATCCATTACCTGACTCGTGAATTCCACGTTAAATTGCACTTGAAAACCGATATCGCACTCATCGCTTCGCGATTCGTGCGATATCGGTTTTCGCGTGCAATTTAACGTGGAATTCCCTCGTCAGGTAACGAATTTTCCTATAATATACCATGTTCTCCATATATGGTCGGTGTACGCGTCAGTTTAAAATTGGAAGCTAGCTGAGATTTTTTTTCGCGAAGGATAGAACGGCGCCCGAAGCAAATCGTTTTAATTCATTTCTTAGAATACTAGAAATGCAATTTCAGCGCAAGAAAAAAGACAAAAACAAACAAAAAAGCCACAAGAGCTTGTCTGAAAGTTTGTCGAAAAACACATGAAAACACATGCAACTAAAGTACCTTGACCAGCTACGAAAGAAGACAAGTGTTGTTTCTTCATGATCGCGAAGCCATTCGCCGATCAAGTCACTCGCCGATAGATAACTGCAGCTTGTTTATCCGACATCAAGAATATAAATCACAAGTAACCAGCTACAAATACAGGCTATGCAGCCATTCACTAGAGCAATCGAGGCGGCAGTATAGCTTCTTTTCTCGTTCAGCAAAACCAGCTTGTGGCTTCAAACAACTTCATAACAAGCGACCGAGGTAATACCGGTAGTTTTTCTCCGTTGTTCTTACTTTTATAACTGCACCGAAAATCCAAATTCACAGTAATTTCGACGGCTGTCTGTTTTGAATTCATTTCCGAGTCCCCGCGTTGACAGTTTTATAGAGTGAAAATAGCGGAAGTCCCTTGTCTTTTCCGGTTTGAAAAGAACCTCGATAATAAAAAACCTCGAACATATTTGGCCAGTCCCTTGGCACTTCGTTAAACCGAGGTTCCACTGTATCAATAAAACAGTGGCTTGTAATCGTGACCTGTGAAATGTGACTTGTGAAAGGTGACCTGTAAAAAAACCTATCCGTGGTACAAGTGTCATCGCCAACCTTTTCACTCTTTTAAAGGCCTTCGATCCGGTCCGAACTTTAATTCCTCAAGACGTTACTAGTATCGACACAAGACCCTGAAAACTATACTCTGTCGACACATCCGTTTAGTTGGCCAAATACGGGAGTGTCCCCCAAGTTAAATTCACTACTTAGCCTGTTTCAAATTTTCTACTTGAGTCCTTTGCATCGCCACTGATCATACGCCGTGCGGAACCAGCTTTGGGAACCTTTTAAGTAATCATTGCCGTGCCAGCGATACGTTCGATTCATCAACGATAAATCGAAATCAGCTGTCGAAATCAAGGCTCTTGCGGACAAATTACAATTACAATTAATATTTGCTGTATAGACTTATAAGAATCTGTTCCGCCAAGAACACAGAGAACAAGACAGTCTGAATATCAAAACCAAAGGCTTAAGAAAAAAGAGAAATATCGAGTGCGCCAAAATTAAATCGACTCATCGCTTGAATTGTAGTTATACCAAATTATAATTTATCTCAAACTGACGTGGACAAAAAATTTATACACCCATCAGTCATTTAAGTACTGATATTTTACTTACTTTTCGTGGAATTAAACAGGACTGAAAATGAATAAAAATGTCAAAATATTTGCAAGTTTATTTTGGTTACAAATATAAAGGAGAGGACTTCAAAATTTTTGTATGTACTTCAAACAACTATCAACTACAATTTACATATTCTGGTGACATCGGCTAGAAGTTTTGCATAAAAAAGCGATGTGTGCAATAGCTGACCTAGTATTACTGTGAGAGTAATTGTTGTTTTTCTGAGCATCTATAATTATGACTTGGACGATCGATCAGAATTGTTACATCGTTATTAGCGGTAGATTAGCTTGTTTGTGTTGTGGCCGTTTCCAATGGAAATTACGAGAAAATTATTTTCATCACAGAACTCGGATTGTATTGGTCGTGAAAAAATTTGCAAGTCAATGATGTTTACTAAGCATTACTGACGTCTTTAACTTTCTACGTGTAATACAAAAAGTTCATTTTTTTCCGCTCCACTTCGTACATAACACGCGATATACTTTCCATTGCATATGGTCAGGAAAACCGTGGTATGGCTGTCTGGAGCAAGTCAAAGTTGCCTGTGCTTGTAGCTTTAGTCTGTTTCGTTTCAATTCCTCTGTATTTTGCGGTACTCAAGGCCTCTGTTGACGGCGGATATTCTGAATGGTCTGAATGGAGTTCATGCTCAAGTGAATGCGGTGATGGGAAGAAAAATAGAACAAGAAACTGCTCGAATCCAGAACCTGGTTATCTGGGTAAAACGTGCTTACAACAAAACCTTGGCCCATGGCGCGAGGAAGAAAATTGTAAAGTTAAAGAATGTCCCATCGATGGAGGGTTTTCGGAATGGACTCCGTTCTTAGCTTGTGACAAAACTTGTGGAGATGGTGTTAAGAAGAGAACTCGTTCATGTACGAATCCGTCGCCACTGTATGGTGGAAAGAATTGTGAAGGTGTAGGGGAAGAGACGCAGGCTTGCAATGTTAAGCCGTGTCCAGTTGATGGGGGGTTTTCACCATGGGGAGAATTCGGCGAGTGTGACAAAACGTGTGGATCAGGTGTTAGAAAACGATCAAGAACGTGCACAAATCCACCGCCAGCTAATGGAGGAAAGGATTGCGAGGGGCCGCTGACGGAGGAAGAAAAATGCAATACCCAGCCTTGCCCTGTTGACGGCGGGCTCACGGAGTGGAGCGAGTTTGGAGCATGCGACAAAACCTGCGGCGGCGGAGTGCAAAAACGAACGAGAACTTGTTCAAACCCAGCTCCAGCGAATGGAGGAAAGAATTGTGATGGACTTCTGGAGGAGACAAGGGCATGCAATTCAGATCCTTGTCCAAACGACGTAAGCCAGGAAAAAACTAATTAGCCTACGATTAAAGGCCAATGCGAAAGAGCTGTAAAAAGAGCGATATCTTTGTTAAACAAGTAATGAACAAAAGAAAATGATTATTAAAATTTCGAAAATACAGAAATGATCCATGAAGCTTTTAATAGGTGAATACCTCTATCAGTTTTATGATTTCGAATATTCTTTGACACTGAAAAGCATTCAGGCCACTTTAAGTTTGGCAATGTTAACTGAAATGATGCCCTTCCAAAAGAACCGATACTCCTTATTTTCCCTTGCTCACCATATACGTCGTTCATATAATTAAATATTCAAAGTGGTTGATACTGCAGGTGCATTATTTTATGGGCACCTGTTGTGGCAGCCATGCAAAATATTTCATCGTTAGTCCTGTCTACTTGAAAGACTTTGAACAGCAGCCGATCTTGGGACCATAAAGCAGATAAAGGGGTCTGTTGCAGAGGATTTAATAGGGGAAAGTAATAAAAAATTCTGATCAGACATCTGTCCCCTTATTTACTTAATAGCCTGCATAACAGGGGTTGTCGGAGGCGAGAGTCTAGGGGGCAGGCGTGAGGCGTGAGGCGCGAGACATGAGACGAGAGAGGAAGTCTTGCGCTTTCCCCTCGCGCCCGAGAGCGCAAAATAACGCTTGTTCAGAGGCTATACCAGAAGCCCATTTGATGGGCTCCTGGCTATACTAAATAGCTTATTTGGAGGCAATACGAACTTGTTTTTGGTGCGCCAACAGTTTGTAATAACTTCAACAAGAAAAATAAATACTATTTATAGGAAAGTTCCGGAATTATACGCCTGTGATAGGGCATAGGACTTGTCGGGCAGCAGTGATTAAGTGCCAGTCCTTGACATTAACGAGTTCTGCAGAAGGATTGGTACTCGAATCAGGTTACGAGTTTCTCGGGCTTTCGCTTAAAGGTGAAGCCCATTTTTTCAGATTTAGAAACATTTTTTGAATCTGGGTGATCTCTTATATAAGGTATACTATAGTCTAGTTTACCCTTACTTAACTTATTGTGTTTCAGTGTGGGGATCGACATGTCAGTCTAATTTAAATCGGATTATTATTCTGCAAAAGAAGATAATCAGAATAATATCTAAAGTTTCTTTTGATGCTCATACCGGTGTTCTTTTTAAAAAGCAGGAGAATTTAAAATTCTCGGACATTTATTTATACCAAATAGGTAAATTTATGTATCTTTTTAAAAGAGGCTTACTTCCAAATTATTTTCGTGATATGTTTACTCCTGAAAGCCAGATACATTCTTATAATACAAGAAATTCCAGCCTTTTCTATATACCTCATTGTCGAACTAATTTTCGAAATTCTCAATTCGGTTTCAAGGTCCTACGTTTTTCAACTCGCTAAGTCGGGAAATTCAAAACAGTGAAAGTATCAGTTTGTTTGGCAAAAGAGTTAAAAATTCCTCCTTTCTTAGTTAAATTGACTCTTTGTTGAGCTATATATACCCCTTTTCTTTTCTTTTTTCTCTTTTTTCTTTATTTTCTTTAAAAAATGAATCCAAATTTTCATTCAGTACCCTTAACTTGTGTGGTTTACCCTATAGTTCCAGGAATCCTATAGTTTATAAGCCCCCGGCTTCTATATAGGCTTCCTTGCCTTTACCACATTTAATCTTGTAAATAACTTAGTTGGAATATTGTATATTATCTTAATGTATTTCTGTATACTGTTGTTGTATTTCTGGTTAATGGCAAAAAAAAAAAAAAAAAAAGAATGAATGAATGAATGAATGAATGAATGTATATAGGTATGTTCCTAACCTCGTCCCCAGGGCGCTTTTCCCTGGCTTTGGAGGTAGGAAAAAGCGCCCTGGGGTCGAGGTTGGTATGTGCCGCCCCATGGGGTAGGGTTTTTGCGCCGTTTTGGTCTGAAAACGGGAATACACTTTGCCCATTTTGGTCTGGAATCGGGTATGGTTTTTGAGGGGCTACTAGGAGTGTATGAACGCATTTATCCTTTCAATTCCAGATGAGTAAGAAAAAAAGAGAAATATGCGAATTCGAAATGTTTTTGAAGAATTCTTTTGTTTGCGCTCTAATATAAGTAATGATAACATAATTTCTACCAAAAGCCTAGGTCTGAAAACGGGTGTGGTAAATTAAATTTTTTTTGTCTGAAATACGGTCAGGATTTCGAGAACCAGGTGGCACACCCCCACCAAGAATTTCCAGGAGTACCCCTCCCCAGGGTGCTTGCTATCGGTGAAACGCCGCACAGAACCTCGTCTTCAAATGGGCTCCAGGTATACATCTTTGATGGAGACATTTAAAGCACGAATTTAAGCAGTAAGAATGACCGTAGTGATCTTTAGATTTCTTTTCTAATATATCAAATTGTTTGTTATCTATTGTCAATATTAAGCTTATTTCTGAGCGAAGACAATTGCTATTCTTTAAATGTTTTGGAACAGAGTGACGAAGCCCCTCCCAAATTAGGTAGTTAATCTTGCTAATTTTATTTGAAACAATAGTAAAAGAATTTGTGGTGTCTAATTCAAACAAAAGATCATTTACGAAAATGACATCTTGTTCAAAAACTGTTTTTTTTTTTATAAAAAACAGGCTTATTATCGACAAGTATCTCTTTGTTATTCCACAAAATAGATTGACATTCTCATCTACTATCGAAATGTAAAACGGTATTTTTGGGTATAAGTTAATGCCGAAATGAAAATACTTTTATCGAATAAGGAACGTTAATGAATCATCAAGCATTGCTATTTTAATATATTTTAATTATTATTGTCACTGCGTGGAGTGTTTTGAATTGTTATATAAATACGTTCTACTAGAATGTACTGGGCTTACAAAAGCTATTTGTTTTTCGTTAATAAGGTTTGGCCTTTCTCTGTAAAGATGCTCTTTTGGACGTCGGTTTGTCTTTGCACACGTGCCGCTATTCAATCAAGAAAAAATGCTTTTTAATTTGTGTAGACTGAGCCCACACAGAGGTTCTTAATCTAATTAGTTCTGGTAAATTTAACGACATTTGTTTGTTATCTTACATTAATTGGCTTAATTGGTTTTTCCTAAATCTTCAGAAGCTTGACCTTACCAAGTTGTCTTTTCCTGGACATTCCTATTTTTACTATCTTTCGCGTATTCAGTGGTTTGATAGAAACTTCAGTGCGCTTCCAAAAGAAAACCTTGTCCAACAGACTATCTTAGTTAACTTGTTGTGATAAACAAGCTTTTGTTATACTGCCTAGTTCAATTTACTTCCTAAAAGTTGTAACGAGTGATATCTTTGTTTAAAGGCTTTCGCACTGTAAATATCTTGCTAATTGATTTTTGACTAGGGATTTGTAAACAATCTTTTAGTTAATATATGGAAAAAAGCGGGACTAATTACCATTGTACGATATTCCAACAAGAAGCTTTTAAACGACAACTTAAGCACTGTACGCGAATTGACAAATTGAACATTTTAGAGTAACGATATTGTACATATGTGATTTTCATTCATGTAAACATTCCTTGTAATTTTTTTGTCTCTCTGACTGTTTTGTTTTGACTGGACAATTGTTGGACAAAAGTGAATTTTGGAGTTTTAACTGATTTTCCTATTACGACACAACCTCGAAGGAAAATATGTTAAAAATTCTTATAGCCAATCGAATTTTTACTGATGTAAGATTATTTTAAGTTTGAGTAAGATTGGCAGCCTTCAGATTCAGTCAAGATAAAAGGCCTTGATTGTGAAAAGTTGAGCAACAAGTTATCTACATTAAAGGAGCTGTGTCACGAAATTCAGCCAAATTAAGAAATTACAAAATGCCCGTTAAATTAAGAAAAACATAAAAATAACCGCTTAAAACTTTAAAGGAAGGTTAAAATAAAATAACAGAAACAACAGATGCCACGGATGGGCAAAACTGAAGAAGATTGAAACGGATTCAAATCAGGGTTTTTGAAAACTGTTCAGCCCAACAATTTTTCAAGGTTGATCCCTGCTGCTTGCAACTTCAAAAATAATGCTCAGGAGACATATTTGTTTGTCTCGGATCTCTGATTTTGTCATTTCCATGTAATTTCTTTGCTTACTTTAAGTTCCATAAAGATTGAGGGCGAGTAATTGGCAAAATTAAACAAAATGAACTGGACTGCCGTGACACAACCCCTTTAAAACAGTTTAAAGAGACAAAAAGTTTCAGTTCATTGTAGAGGATTACTGTTCCCCCAAGTTTCCTACTACAGAAAACATTACGAAAATCACACCACCATTGAAGTAACTCGGAATAGAATTTAGAGGAAATATGTACCTCTTTAATGTCATAATTACAATGAAATAAAAAGAGGCCCCCAAAAGCTAGGTTCCAACGAAAACCGTAACTAGCTTCTCCAAGCACCATTGTTGCATTGGAAGATCCTTTTCAGCCAGGCCTGTCGTAAAGATTTAATCATCAGTACTTTCCAGATCGATCATTTTTAAACCACCGTTTTCATATTCGTTAATTGTGGAAAGTCTTGTCACTTTATCGGTTCCTTTCCACAAAAATTTAAATATCATTTGATTTAACTCTTTTACAATTTCCTTGAGGACCATCAGAAGCCAGGAAATGAAAACAAATTTTGGAATGATTAAAGACTTGATAATTGTTACTTTTCCATAGATAGAAAGACCTCTTGAAGACCAAATGTTTATACGTTTTTTGACGCTGTCCAATCTCTCAATAAAATTTTTTTCGTGCAAAAGTTTGATATCGTATGAGTAATAAACACCAAGGGCTTTGATTGGTTCATCAGGCCATTTTATACCAAGTTTTATCTCTAGACGACCCGATCCACATTCCGTCAGTTTAGATGAGTTAATTACAAGTCCTGATAAGTTCTTGAATACTTCGAGAAGGTTAAAAAGGGCCTGTGCCGAGTCAATGTCAGACAGAACAGCCGTTGTGTCATCAGTATATTGAAAGAGTTTTGTTTCTTCGCCACCGATTTTAATACCAATTATCTCTGGATTTTGACGAATTGCCAAAGCAAGAGTTTCAACTGCAACCACGAAAAAATATGGAGAAAGCGGATCACCTTGCCTCACGCCCCTTTCCAGAGAAAAAAAGTCAGTCGCGAGACCATTGTTGATAAAACAACTTTCAATATTGTGGTACAGTGTTCTTACCCACCAAATAAATTCAGGACCAAAACCAAAGGCTTCTAAACAGCTGAAAAGAAAGTTCCATTCTAAGCTGTCAAATGCTTTTTGGAAATCTATAAATATCATTGAACCTGGAATATTTTCTTTTAGATAGAATTCCATTAAATCAAAGATCGATCAAAGAGTTTCACCTAATGCGGTCCTTCACGAAACCACATTGGTTATGATGAATTATACTTGGTAGGACGTTTTTTATCCTGGTAGCTAAGACTTTAGAGATAATCTTGGCATCAACGTTGACAAGTGAGATCGGTCTCCAGTTTTCTAAAAGAGAACGATCCTTTCCTTTCTGTTCACTGATGGAGAGTGATCACCGCCTGTTTCTCGGAGCGTGACATTTCACCACTAGCGAAAATTAAATCTCGTTGACACAGTTGACGAAAGGTTCGCTAATAATTTCCCATAATTTACTGTAAAATTCGATTGAAAGTCCGTCATTACCAGGAGCTTTGTTACCCTGAAAACTTTGTAAAGCTTTAACACACTCCTCCTCCGTAATGCTACCTTCACACGAAAGCTTTTGTTCATCTGTGAGGCGTGGGATATTTAAACTATTGAAAAAAATTCCTGTTGCTTGCTCGTTACCCAAACGGATCGTATATCAGTAGTGATCGAACCATTAATCTTCAATTTTCGCACATGTTTTTGACATGGTCCCTTTTCTCCAGATTGAGAAAATATTTCGTTCTCTTTTCACCGTGTTCACACCATCGCGCTCGTCAGGTGCACCCAACGAGAATATAGTTCAAAACATAGCATTGTTAAACGTATTTTAGTATTTAAACGATAGATATAGGAATATTTTAATTTTATCCCCTAGAAGATTTTCATCAGTTCGGATTTCCTAGCTGAAAGTCTAGTGATCTGAAAATTATAGGGATCAAAACTGACCTATTCGAAAATTTCAGCCAGAAAAAAGGCTCCCGAAAATTCTAGGTGACCTTTTTAGGGTAAAAATCCGTTAAAAATGGGTAATTATACCATTTTTTTGGTGTTCGAAAATTCTAGGAGAGGCAGGCAAGCAAAAAATTTTACAACAAATGTTCAGAAAATTTTAGATCTGAAATCGTCTTCCGAACAGATATTTTCCGAAAAACTGACGTTGGGTGCCCCGGCCTGGCCCGTGCACGAATGATGATACCTTGAAGTTTTTCTTCATAAAAATGTTCCAATCTTTCTTTTGCCGTATTAGAGGGTCCTGAAGGGGTAAAATGGGAACTGGGATTGGTCGGTTTTTGCCCGGGAAAAATGGGATTTAAGCCACTGGGCCTTGGATTTGGTCACTGGGAATGGGAATAAAAGGTCAAAAATGGGAATGGGATAAATAGTTTGGAACCATGACCAGTCGAGGCATCACTTATTTCCTGGAGTTAAGAAACGTCAGAGAATTGCTAATGCACCTTGTTCTAGTCAATTTTTGCATTTTTATCTAGGTTTCCCCCGAATGGCCCCGATTTGCGTGTCAACGATATTTGTGTACAGTGGTGCGTGTAAAACCAAAAGTCTGCATGGCATGTGTATTTGAATGATACAAGCAACATAGCCGGAGCTACGGCGGGAGCAGAATTGACGACTCGCATTGTTGTCGTAACGTAGAAATTAAGTACTTTTGTACTAAAAATGTAGTTATACACACAGAAAACTGCAAATTGAATTTACCGTTAGATTGTTCAACAACTCAGATGGAGAAAAATATACGAAGAATGTGTGGCATTGTTAAATCGAGTAGACGAAGGGGATTCAGGAATGGCAGGAATGTGAAGTGGCAGGGACTAATCGCTATAAACTCGCTACTTGAAAGTTTTATTAGCCTGCGTAGCAAGCGTTTCCGTGCGATTTAGGAGCAAAGAACAAGCGGCCAAAACCGGTCTTTCTTTGCTCCGAAACCAAATGGAAACGCTTGCTACACAGGCTAAAGTTTTATTACTGTTTGAAATGATCCTGTTATCTCCAGAACATCTTTGTAAATCCTTGTGAATTTTTGGGTCTTTGTTGGGTCGTATTTAGAAGCCGTAATTTTGCAGATGCAAAGCGAAAAGAGGTGGTATGTATAACACTGGGATTTTTTCCAAATCCTGCTAGTGGGAATGGGATTTGAGCACTCGGAAGTGAGATTTCGAAAAAAAATGGGCTGGGGGTGGGACTGGTACCCCCCCCTTCCCCCTTCAGGACCCTCGTATTAAAATCGCTAGCATTTTTATTGGTAGGATCACATTCAAACGTTTGCTTTGCTTTGTTAAATTCATCTTGCAATATGTTCTCCTTATCTTTTTTCCTTTTGCTTTACGTTTTGAAAACTGCACTGCATGTGCTCTAAGATGATACCAAGAGCCATAATGGCTCTTGACAGAAACTCAAATGAGTTATCAACCCCTTATGTAGCCTCCCCGCAGACGTCCTTTGGGGTTCGTTTGTCACGCATTCATTTCTCCCCCACGGAGGAGAAATGAATGCGTGACAAACGAACCCCAAAGGACGTCTGCGGGGAGGCTACCCCTTATGAGTTTCTGGTTATACTTAAGGAGGCTCGATACAGTTTTCCAGGACCAATACCTCCCAAGTTTGAGCATAAACTACGTCGCCATAAACAAAGTTTTGAAAAAATTGCCACCACAGTTGTATTAGATAAAGATGAAAATTTGTTATGATCAGGGTTGCAACTGCATCGGAGTTGTCATAGCAACGAAATGACGCTATTACCTATTTTACTTGCAGCAGTATATCTCGGCACTAGGAACTGTTCTTCCAAAATCGTTCACGGGAGCTTTTTCCTCCAATAGCGGCCTCGATGTTTGTGAAGTTTAAGCGAAATCTGTAAGAGCGTTATCGAGATATTTTGGGGTGAAGTTTTTATGGTTAGAAACACAGTAAAAAATGGACAATATTGTTGTTTGGCCGTTATCTGTAAAATTTGAAGAGCTTTTGACATGCAATTTCACCTCATAGTAGTTTCAATCTTTTCAAAAACGTGTGTGAAAGATCATTTAGATAGCTCCAACCGATTGCTAGAAAGGAGGGTTTGATTAGTATGTATCGAAGCGCTCTTGTTAGCGGTTTTGTAAACATTTTGGTCTTCTTTATCAAATTAGCGAATAATTTTTAAACCGCTCGATAGATTTTTTAAAAAATTTAAGATTCTTGAGATTAACCTTCCTTTTATATGACCTTTTACTTTCAAGATTATTGATATATTGTAAGGCAGTAAAACAAGGGCTACAATTCGCTAATATTTTGGCTGAAATTTTGTGTTTACAAGTGTGAGCCTCTCATTATTCAAGGTATTGTCTCCAAGTTTCATATTTTCGTGCACAACAATAGCTAGCAGTTTTGCATATGTCAAATGCATTGTTAGTTACTGCTGTTCACGTGAAAATGAAACTTGGAGACAATGCCTTGAATAATGAGAGGCTTTCTCTTGTAATGACGAGACTTCCAATAAAAAAGTATCGAATTGTAGCCGTTATTTTACTGCCTTACAATGTATCAACAATCTTGAAACTAAAAGGTCATATAAAAGGAAGGTTAATCTCAAGAATCTTAAATTTTTTAAAAAATCTATTGAGCGGTTTAAAAGTTATTCGCTAATTTGATAAAGAAGACCAAAATGTTTACATAATCGCTAACAAGAGCGCGTCGATACATACTAATCAAACCCTCCTTTCTAGCAATCGGTTGGAGCTATCTAAATGATCTTTCACACACGTTTTTAAAAAGATTGAAACTACTATGAGGTGAAATTACATGTCAAAAGCTCTCCATTTTTTACAGATAACGGCCAAACAACAATATTGTCCATTTTTTTACTGTGTTTCTAACCATAAAAACTTCATCCCAAAATATCTCGATAACGCTCTTACAGATTTCGCTTAAACTTCACAAACATCGAGGCCGCTATTGGAGGAAAAAGCTCCCGTGAACGATTTTGGAAGAACAGTTCCTAGTGCCGAGATATACTGCTGCAAGTAAAATAGGTAATAGCGTCATTTCGTTGCTATGATAACTCCGATGCAGTTGCAACCCTGATCATAACAAATTTTCATCTTTATCTAATACAACTGTGGTGGCAATTTTTTCAAAACTTTGTTTATGGCGACGTAGTTTATGCTCAAACTTGGGAGGTATTGACCCTGAAAAACTGTATCGAGCCACCTTAACCCAGTCCCAGAATATTTCATGAACGCTACATGAGGCATCTTTCGCACTAAAAGGGCCTTAGCAACCACCGCTTCTTCAAGCAAAAATCAAAATTAAGACTTTCTGCATTGTTAATCATGGGTGTTAGTCGAGGAAGACTTCCTACTCTAATTGCTCTGGTCTGTGCCGTAGCTATTCCACTATATTTTATCGTCAAGAGAACTTCCCTCGATGGAGGATATGGTGAATGGTCTGAATGGGGACGGTGTTCGAAAGAATGCGGAGAAGGAACGAGTGAACGGCATCGCAATTGTTCGAATCCTACACCTGGATATTTTGGGAAAACTTGTTTGGAACTAACACTTGGTCCACCAATTGAAGAAAAACAGTGTAAAGATAAAGAATGCCCTATAGACGGCGGCTTTTCGGACTGGGGTGCATTCGGAGAGTGCAGTAAACCTTGCGGAGACGATGGCGTTAGGAAAAAAACACGTACGTGTTCCAATCCACCGCCTCAGCATGGCGGCAAAGACTGTGAAGGACCGGCTGAAGAAACAGAAGCTTGCAATATTAAACCGTGCCCCGTAGATGGAGGTTTCACCGACTGGACACCTTTTGGCGAATGCGACAAGACATGCGGCCCAGGAGTGAAAAAGAGAACAAGAACTTGCACAAATCCTCCCCCTTCCCATGGTGGAAAGAACTGCGAGGGACCGGTAGACGAGGTGGAGGAATGTAACGTCAAGCGTTGTCCTGTTGATGGTGGATTCACAGAGTGGAGCGAGTTTGGACCCTGTGATAAAACGTGCGGTGGTGGCATGCAGTTTAGAACGCGAAATTGTACAAACCCAGCACCCGCAGATGGAGGGAAAAATTGTGATGGGCTAATACGAGAGACGAAAGAGTGCAACTCTCAGACCTGCACGAAATAGCCCTAAAGTTTGGTTTCTGTCAGCATATGGATTTTTTTTCAAGCAAGCACATTTTTGTACATTGCCACTCTTGACTACCCAGTGCTCTTAGATTATGCATGGACACCAGGGCATGGACTTAATATGCCAATCGATTTGAAACTACAGTCATAGGGAGCCCACACGTTCATTTGGAGTTCAAAGAATGTGACATCAAGAAGTAAACTTGGCTGTTGTCCTTATGAGTATGCTGTCTTTGCCTCAGTTTCCATAACATTTGCGATATGTTGCGGTGTGGTTCTGTAGCATCGCATTCAATTCAGTGACGGTTGGGTTACATAATATTTCAGTGGTATTGTGTTGTGCCTTTTGTGTACCTTATGCCTTGCATGTTCATCATTGTTGATTATTAATTATTAATGATTTGAAAGTTAATGGTACAAAGTTAAATAGTGACAAGGGTCTGAAGCTGTTATCGTTCTATGAATGCCTCCACTTGACTGGTTTCCTGGTGGGGAAATTTATGATAGAGCGATTTTCGTATGACCTTGAAATGAAAACGTGTGAACAAAACTGAAACAAAAAACGAACGGAAATAGAGCGATTTGATTGGTTTATCGAATGGATACAAACACGTGTGGCTTTTTGGTCTGTTAAGCGAATGCTTGGGTGAAAAAAACTTCATGCCCAAGAACTTTCTAGAAATCAATTGATACTTCCCTTTGACATCATACTGTAACACAATTGGCCAATCGAACAATGCTTTCTCCATATTAGGGTTTTCTTTGGTGGGAAAACGAATAGGCCATGTTTTGATCTTTTCATCCATTGGCTAATAAAACAAATAACAAACACTTACCGAAACCATTTTTCAAGGTCATACGAAAATCGCTCCAATTAAAATAAAACAAAGGATATTGACTGATGATAACCATGCTACCGAGGCTAAACGAACTTCTGGTTCAGTCAAGCAGAGGCATTCATTCCAGGGTTTAGTGAGGTTTACTAGGGTTTCATTTGCGGGCATTCATAGCTCCAAAAGGTGGTCCTCTTAATACTGTATGTTGCTTTTTTCATGGGAGTAATGACACGTTGATGAAATACCTTTGACCATGATACATTAATCGTTCAACTGATGATAAGTAAACAAATGGTGTCAAAGCAGCAGGTATTATGAGACTACGACCATTAAGAATTTTATGCCCAAAATAATCTTGACCCTTGTCTCTTTTCTCTCTTTTTATGCTGAGCCCCTATTAATAATCAGCAAGAGACGTGACATGTAAAGCAAACAAAGGTGCAACGTGATACGACTGAAATATTGTGTAATCCAAACCATCACTGAATTGCATGCAATGCTACAGAACCACACCTCAATGCATTGTAAATATCGTGGAAAGAGAGACAAAGACAAGATGCAAAAAGGTTTCTTGATGTAATGTTCATTTAACTTTATTTAATTGTCACAAAATTTACAAATGAACATGTGGGCTCCCTCTGCTTCAACATCCCAGCAGTCCTACCCTGGGCATTTGGCCATCACTTGTACTCGGTGAGTAGGGAATTTGACCTTTGCTTGTGTAGGGTGAGGAATTTGAATCGTAAGTGTCATGTTTAACGTCTTTTTACCATACCATGTCTGACAAGGTGCCGTAAAATTCTGAAAATAAGCCCCAGGGCTTATATTTTTCAAAGGCCCTTTTTGAGGGGCTTATATTCGGAGGGGCTTATCTACGGAGGGAAATTTGCGTTTCAAAATCGATTGGGCTAGCCTTGAGTTGGAAGGAAATTTACCGTTTTGGCTTTGTTTTACTTTTTATTTGAGGGCAATTTTCTAAGTACAAGTGCCCGGGGGGCTTATATTTGGAGGGGCGATTTAACGGAGGATTTTTTGCATTACCGGTTTGGGGGGCTTATATTTGGAGGGGCTTATATATGGAGGGGCTTATTTTCGGAATTTTACGGTAGCTTGATAGATGCAATCTTTCTCATAATAAGATGAAGGAGTTTAAAGGTAAAAACACATTTTGTAAAAGAATGGCTTGTTCGACAAGGACTTTCAAAACCTAAATGTATGAATTTGACTTTTTTTAAATTCCACGACCCTAATTCACTCCCTTGTTTAATACAAAGTATATTATCATTGGTACATATAGCCCAACTCACCCTTCAACATCCACAACATTCACCATAAATTTATCCATGCACAGCATAATAAATGCAAAGTTTGTTTTTCGAATTCACAATCTGCAAAACATCTTTTCTTTGGGAGGAGTCTATATGGGGCTAGCATGTAATGGGAATTTGAGTCTCAAAAAGTTCAAATGCCTGGGGGTTGCCTGGGGACAGGGGATGTTGAAGTTTCTGATTGGCAAATGTGTCTGCTTAATGCAGAAAATAAGTAGAGAAAAAAATTGTCCTTTAGATAGTAAATAATTGTGTCAATGAATAGGTAGAACTTTGTTTTGTGTTTTTGTAGTTTTAGCATATTTACAGCTCAGAACAATCTGATAATTTAATGCCAATTAATATAAATTAAGTGTGTCATAAGTCAAATATTACATTAAAACATATAGGGAAGTAAGAGTTTTTGGGAGAAAATACCGCCTGAAGACTAAGTCAGTCAGTCATGATCACTGTCTTTTATTATAATAAGTTATTTCTTGACAGAGGAGTGTAAATGTTTTAGCTTACTTGGGTTTGGTGCCAATGGTCCATGCTTGAAAGCTGTAAATGAATAATAGTGCTATATCTCAGTGCAATTTCTCAATTTTTGTACTCTTAATATTGTATTATTGAATGTATTTTAAGCTACATATTTAGATAGGAGTAGTATATGTTTTTTTCTCTAATGTATTTTAAGCTACATATTAAGATAGGAAAAGTATATGTTTTTTTTTCTAGAAGAAAATGAAATTGATTTGGCCCGATTTCCTCAATTTCAGACTCTTTTGTTTAATTTGACTTTTTGTGCTACTCCCATAATAAATTGGTCTTAACAGCTATGTGCTGCTGAACAGGATGTGATGTTTAGGGTCTATTTATTTGGAATTCAATCATTTTACCAGGCATTTTACATACATTCATATCAATCATGTTATTAGTTTTACACAATCCTAATCAAGAATATTTTAGAAAAACTCAAGTACAGGGGAAACTCCACTGTTGAAATAGACAGGGGTGATCATTGGACAATTATGAGAAAAATATATCCCTAAAAAAGACCAAACTGGGAGTGGGTCAGTCCAGCTCAGTATGGTGGCATTTGCTTTGTTTCTTTATGCACAACCCTTAGTGATACCTTAATGGGTGACTGGTTTTCCATCCTGAACCCCCTAATCGTCACTGTCATTTTTGTGTGAAAGTCCCTTACACCTGGGCCCACTCTTGTACGCACTCAACTCCTTCCAATATATGAAACTTTAAGGGTGTTTTGGGTCACATGAAGGGTTTCATTTTATATTCAAGGAGTACTTTTAGAAATTTTTAGTCACAATGATGGATCGCATTGGGATATCTTCAGAGAATGTTCTGAGACTGGTGGGTTCCTTCCTTCTATACAGAGAGGCTCTGCCCCAAGGTCCAACCCCTAACCCTTAAAATTTACATTCCATTTCTGACAAAAAAGGTACTCACTTCGTATTCCTTCTTTTGAGAAATGATGCCTCTCTCACATATCTAGTTTCAAACTTTGTATCTCAGAACTGCTGTGGTGTCTTTTGAATATGAATAAACCACAAAAACAGAACCTTTTCTCGACTTTTTCGCTGCCATAAAATGCATCTATTAGAAACACTTGTGAAGGCAAAACCATAACGACAAACCAGTGAGGGTCTGGCCGGATCTTTTGTAGACCTGGATTAGTAAAATCTTGAGTACCAAACTTTAAAATTAAAACAGTGAACTGATCTTTACGACAGGAAGAGTAATGTAAAAAATATAGAAAGAAAACAAAAATAAAGTTGTTAATTATATTTGCCCGATATTTTGGTTTGCAACACAAATCTTCTCATTAGGGGCTAGGATCAGTTTACTGTTTTAATTTTTAAATTTTGCATCTATTAGCCCTTTGGGCTATTTCCAGACTAAAATGGCAGATTTCGCTAAAAAAGTGCCCCTCTCTGGTGGAGCCCCCTGTATAGGCCATTACTGAATGGAGTACTCCCCCCTGGGTTTCTCCCTCTTCGGGGGTATTCCGGATTTCAAGTGACAGGGATGATCGAATGAGAGCAAAAATCAAACCCCTGTCAAAACCCAAAATAACCCCTAGACCAAAATTTAATCCCCCAAAAATCCTATGCCAAATTTCCTAGCCTTAAAAATTTCCAGTAAGCATTAAATGATCATTAGTTTTGAATACGCAAAAAAATCCCTACTTAAATCAAGCTACCCAAAAAAATACTTGCCAAAATTTTCGTACCAAAAAAAATCCCGAAATCAAGAATTTCAAACCCCCAAAAATCCTTCGATCGCCCCTCTCAATTGAAAATGACTTTTGTCACAGTCACAGCGTGACATCACATCCAATCCAATCAAATCTCAGTTTCCCATCGGTTTGAACGTGTATCAACCAATCAACACGTCAGCTCGTTCTCGAAGCGACTACGCTCGTAACGCGAGTGAGAAAAGTTGTTTTGGCGGGTTCGCCTGTCATGTTGGCAGTTGGTTTGCAAAATGGCAGACAGAACTGCTCCAACCTCGTCGCTAAAACTAGAATGGGTGTACGGTTATCGAGGACACCAATGCAGAAACAATCTTTACTACACTGGCGCAAAGGAGATCGTGTATTTTGTGGCTGGAGTGGGGGTGGTTTACAACACGAGGGACAACTCACAACGATTTTTTCTTGGACACAACGATGATATTATCAGGTTTGTAAAGTTTAGGGCTTGTACAGACTAGTTTCTCCTACAAGGTATCTCCTACAAGTAGACTTGATAAATGCGGTATTTGCTTGATATATTTACCGATTCCTTGTGCAAACTTGAACAATGCATGCCTCTGGATGTTGACAGGGTTACCGTGCAAGCGCCGTGTAAACTCTATTGACGGCATGCATGAGTTTGTTTCAAAATACATTGAAATTCTAATTGCCGAAAAAGTATTTTCCATTGATACTTCCACAAGATGTTTTTGCTTGTGCATTTTTAACGACACCTTAAAAGGAAGGGCTTTTTTACAGGGCCATAAACATACATTCTTCGAATCAGTGTTTCATAGCTGGGGTCTTTCTTTCTTTTGGTTGATTGACTCTGGTGAATGAACACTGACTTTATTTTTATTTTAGGCTTATATTTATATATTGAACAACGTTGTACTTCGATTTCACATCAATTAATTTTTTTCATTTTGTAGCCATATGAGAACAAAATATTTTTACACCTGAACTTGATTCCGTGTATACTTTTCTACGAGACAATAATTTACGATTATCTGTGTGTCAGTTTATTCTATCTGAACGCATAAAAGCAGATATATTTTTAAGTACTCGTCATTCAAGATGTTTTAAAAATCGAGGCGACAATTTATAAATGTGTTCTTCATATTTTGGTGAGCAATATTCTCAAGTCGACACACCCTTATTTTATTTAAATTGAAAATGGAAGTTTAATTTAGTCACCAGAGAAATTTATGATAACATAAATTATTCTTAGAATCTGCCTTTCAAATACAAATATACTATGGAACTGTATATTAATAAGACAGTTAAATATTGAAGCTTGCTGGCTTTGAACTGTTTTGATTTTATAATAGCTTTGACTGCCTACATGCCTACATTCAAAATGAAAGACAAAACAAAACATACAGGTGCAATACATTTTTCCTGCTGCTGTCAGGTGCAAATTTACAATATATCTTTGGACACTGATATTTCAAACTAATAAATTAATTATTTACATGTAGATTATGGTCATTCAACATCCAGAATGGACCTGTATATAACCTAAGTGCTAAAATTTTTTGGAGAGCATTTATGAATAGGTAGTTTTACACCTGTTATTAATTATTAGAAGGTAATTGCAGCCTGAATCCTCATAATGGCCTTTTCAGTAATTTTAAATGGCCTTTTCAGTATTTCTGGGGAGCCCTGATGCACTGTGGTGGTATTTCATCTGTTATTGCTGGGCTCTTCTTGGCATGAAGTGCACAGGAGAGCACCATGGGTAATAAAATTTGGTTATCCAGATGTGTATCCAAGAAATTTTGGTTGCATTTTGGACAAAATTGTACGTCTATCCATCTGTCCATACTACAGTCGACCCTCTCGTAAGCGACCACCCAAAATGCAAAGGCTTGGTGGTCACTTACAGGGGATGGTTGCTTACGAGAGTCGGACTGCAAGGTTGAAATTTTTAAGTTCACCTAGAATGGAGTGGTATGTTTACTTACTGAAAGTTTACTTTCCCCTGACAATTACTGGTAGTTTTTATGACAAAATCATCGGCCATTGTATGTGACAGTTCATTTACGGAAGTCCAATTAATTAGATGACACCTTCCTTTTTGTCCATTTTTACAATGTACTTAACTGTTTAGTATGACCATTTGTCAAGTGGTCGCTTATGGGAGGTGGCCGTTTATGAGAGGTTCCAGTTTATGGCTTTGACAGAAAATATTTTTGGTGTTTTGCAAAGGTGGTTTCTTATGGGAGGTGGTTGCCTACGGGAGGTGGTCGCACGTGGAGGTTCGACTGTACTTATGTTCACCCCTTGATGTTAGTGAATGTCACTTACTTACTTAGGTTGTTTACCATTTACATGGGCAAACTAGTTGGTCCATGATTTGGGCAACTGGTACCCAAAATTCAGGACTGGTACATTTCGTCCCGGATTTGCATTTACTATTTGTACAAATCGGGGATCTTGCATAATTTGTGCACCCCTCAGACGAGTACGGTTCGGCACTATTGGCCAATATGTTGATCGACTCTTGATTGCCATATCAGTTGACTGTCGGTTGACATGTTGTTGGACACTCGATCGATATGTTGGCCAGTGCATTGGCCGACATATCAGTTGACATGTCGGCTGACACTCGATCGCGTGTCGGCTTGGTCAACTGTCATGTAATATAATCTGTGCTTTGAAATCAGAATAGGGGAGCTGGGTTTCAGAGTTACACTCATCCCACATCAGTCTTCAATGCCACATTAACTTGTTGGATTTCTGCCATTGTTCTACGTGTGTTATAATGTTAGATTGTTTTTGAATACTCTTCAAAGTTGATGCCATAGCGGTCCCTATTTTTTTCCAAAAACAAAATTGCGCACACTTGAAATTATACTTTCACATTTATAGTCAAGACTGGTAAAAGCCACCAAAGCCCATTAAAAATTGCAGCATGGACAATGTCACAACAAAAATTTGGGTAGACAAAAAATGTACCACCGGCTAAGTAGCAGTGAAGTATCGCCTGAATGTCGGTGGCGTATTAATCGATATGTCGCCCGACTATCTGTCAACATACTGACCAACACCATCAGCCAATCTGTTGGTTGACATGTTGGCCGAGAGATCAACCAGGATTCGGCTGATATGTCGTTTGATATGGCAACCGAGAGTTGGCAGACATGGTCGACATGTTGATTGTGTATTGGCCGATAGTGTCAACCAATACTTGGCTAGGGGTGCAAAAATTACACAAGATCCCAAATCAGTTCTATTTCTTGAAAACAACCGTTAAGGTCTGAAACTGTCATCAAAGATGGCTTTGAAGCTAGAAATGGAATGTGAATTTCCATTTGGAATATTCTGTCCGGAAAAACAGGACTACCTTTTCAGAAGTTCCATTGCTCCCTGAAATTTTCTGCTGGAACGACCCCAAAAGTCAGCTTCCACTTGCTTTCCAACTGGAAATCGTAAACAACCTTGTAAATGGTACAAAAAAAAAACATTTTGTAAACGGTAAACAACCTTGGAGTCCAAGGCATACCGTAAAGGCCCTTTTTGAGGGGCTTATTTTTGGAGGGGCTTATATTCGGAGGGGCTTATGTACGGAGGGAAATTTGTGTTTCAAACTCAGTTGGGCTAGCCTGTAGTAGGAAGGAAATTTACCATTTTTGCTTTGGTTTACTTGGTATTCGAGGGCAAATTCCAAGCACAAGCCCCCCGGGGGACTTATATTTGGAGGGGCGATTTAACCGAGGGTTTTTTTGTGTTACAATTTTGGGGGGCTTATATTTGGAGGGGCTTATTTTCGCAATGTTACGGTATATCTAGTAAGTTAAACTTAATATTTGGGATCCATGTTATGGTCAATATTGACAGCTATAAAAAGGGTGTCCACTGATCAGTGTCACTTAACTGTATTGCAGGCTCAGGTGTACAACTCACTGAGGTGACATGTTTTTCTAAAGTTTTTTGCTGACCAATTATTGGCTTTCAGCTGGTGACAGGCTCCTACGGGGGTGGGGGGGTGGTACTCCGGATTTCAAGTGACAGGGATGATGGAATCGGGGGCAAAAATCAAAACCCAAAAAAATCCCTAGGACTTCAAACAAAACCAAAAAAATCCCATGCCGAATTTCCTATCTATAAAAATTTCCAGAAAGCATTAAATGAGACATAACACAAAAAATAGAAACATAAGTAAACCTGGAATGTTTGTGTTTGTTTATCCATCTCACCATCTGCAGTAAGAACCCTTTCCGCACCTGGTGGTCATTGTAACAACACTCAAGATACCCAAGAACACAGGGCTCGAAATTAAAAAAATCCTCAGGTCGCCTTTTGGCGACCAACTAGAGAAATATAGTCACCAGATGCAAATTTTTAGTCGCCAGTTTGTATCATGTAAATGACCCAGCTCAGGGCTTGTGGTATTTCGCGCGGTCGCGAAATTGAAATTCACAAAAGCACGCAAAATACCGCGAAATTCAGTAGAAATTTTATCAAATACATGTCTCTTAACAACATATTTGAAACTTATCTCAGCAATTTCATCTTGAAACTTCGTCACTGAAACGTGCACACATCGTCCTAAGACTACCAGGCATAGATTATGTTGCGAAAACCTGGGCACTAGTTATGATGTTAAAGGCTTTGCCATTGGTTCATTTCTGGAGCGTATTGTTGTTGAGAGAGCAAATGATGACCTCTGTTAGAAAAACGTTTAAAATGCTGGTCTGATCAGCGCAAAACCGATCGATTTCTAGCGAATTTTCCCTGAAAATAAGCATAAAATCGGCTGTTTTTACTGATTGCTTTTCGCGAAGTTTGCTCCGAAAATTTTCTCGAAATTGGCCGATTTTTCCGCGCATTTGTCCCTTAACATCCCGCAAAACTTGACTTTTTTCAGCGACCTTTTAGAAGCCCTACATAGTATGGCGCGATCCATCCGATTTCCGCGATTTGAAAATACTAGGGATAGAAGTCGGTGTAAATTTGGAGGTAAACTGGCTTTGTTTATGACATTTGGCACATTTTTTATGATGAGAGCAAAGCAAGATAATATGAAATGTTTGTGTTAACTTAACTCATTTAATTTAAATCTAAAATATAGAGAAATCTGGTTGCCACTTTTGCGACTAAACCAGAATTTTTAGTCGCCAAGGAGAAAATATTAGTTGCATTGGCGACCATATCAGTCGCAATTTCGAGCCCTGGAACATATTCTGTTACAACAGTACCATGCAGAATGACAACTCTAAACAATGCGGCTGGGATATGCAGGAACTATCACGAATGTTCAGATTGTTTTGAATACCCCAAAAAATCCCTACTTAAAATCCGGAGTCCTCCCCTGGGGGCAGGCTAACTTCCATTTCATTTAGGATGGATTCAGTTAACTTCTTGCTTATGGCAAATGCTGAAAGATCCCATGAGAGCTTCGCTTTTGACCTTGCCTAAATGTATACTACATATTAGTGAATTGATTCTGCATTGAAAGAAAAAAGTTTTCTTGAAGTAAACCAGACTGATGTGGCATTCTTATCCTTTTATATAGTTTAGCCTTACACCCAGATAAACAGTTGGTAGCAACTGGACAAGTTGGCAAAGACCCATACATCTGTGTCTGGGACACACGGTCATGTCAGACTGTATCCATCATGAAAGACACCCACCAAAGGGGAGTCACATGCTTGGCATTCAACAATTCCGGCACGGTAAGCTTTGCTGTGACATGCAGGTAAACCACGCAACTGCCTTATCGATAACTGTTAAAATAGGTATTGTTTGCATTCCTGCATTTGGAAATTAAATTGGATACCATGGCTTTGAAATTACTACCACCATTTTATTCATTTAATTTTTATCAGATAAACTGGTATGAATTGTAATTATAATAATTGGTATCTCTCAGTTAGTATAATAACCTTGTTTTCTTTGTGCATAATTTAAGCTGTGGAGCCTCTGACTTTCTCCTTGGAATGAATTCATTATCACTCACACATTTCTCCCTTGGGCTGCTATGATGTAACAAACTTCGTCCATTCATGTCGGTCCATGCATGTGTACTGCTACATAATTATCTCTCTAACTGAGTTTGAGATCTGTACTGTAAGTGACACGATGAATTCTTTTTCGCCTAAAATAAGCCATTTACGGTTACAAGTGGAAACGAGGCTGTAGTTGACCTTATTTTGATACAACCGTTCCTGCTTTATTATCATTTATTAAATCATGGTGTCCTTATGCAAACTAGTATTTTTTAAGCATAATTTCCATGCGAAAAAGGAGGAGGTTTGTATCAATTTTTGTGAGTGAGCTGTAAATCTGAGCACCTAAAATAGGGTGCTGTAAGTTCCTCAGATATGAGGATGAAATACCCCCTCTCACAGCACAGATCTAACTCTTGTGCAGACTTTATAGTGTCCATCTCCAGGCACCACTTAGTAAATTGAAGCCATGTGCCACTGAGTTGGCCTTACCACACCTACGTAATATACACGTATGTGATAGAGCTGTTTAACCCACATCAAACCTTTTTTTGAAGGACCATTGGCAAGACTCCCTTTACTCCCTATACTTATAAACTGATTGTAATGCTATTTGTAATATTTTCAGCTGCTTGTGTCTGTGGGTCTGGAGGACTATCATCTGATAGCAGTGTGGGATTGGAAAAAGGGACGTGTGTTGGCTACAGTGAGGGGACACTCTGATCGAGTGAGTAGTTTTGAGTAGTGTTAATTATTTTAAACAGTCTACTCAACAGGGCCATTGTTACTTCACAATATTTATTTTATTGAACTTGTATAGACAACAAATTCTGCTTTGGCTTTTTGGCCTCACATGTCTTTTTGTTAGTTTTGATTGTTGCATTAATTAGTCAAACATAAGTTGCTGCTTTGCATTCTTTCCTTTAGTCTTCTCTTGTTTCTTCCTGTAGATATTTGACATTCAGTTTAACCCATATCAAGAGAATTTGTTGGTTAGCTGTGGAGTCAAACACATCAAGTTTTGGACCCTTTGTGGAAATGCACTAAATCCTAAAAAAGGTCAATGACTTAATTTCTTCCTATTTCTTCTAAAATTTAATCCATTGTAATTAAATACGTCAATTGTTCCCACTGGTTATCAAACCTAATGTCATCTTTAAAGTTAAACATGTGCATGAAAAGAATGGGCAATTTAAAGAATGGTGCTTATACTTGTATATAAAGATTGCTTCCAGAATTAGAGAGGTGATTTTATAGAGCATTTGAACCACACAATACTAAACTTACACAGAACATGCAAAGGGACTATTGCTGTATGATTCATAGTCTTCCTCTTCTTATAACTACTCTAAAACATCTGTCACACCTCTTTTATGTGGATAGTTCTATGATCAATATGGTTACCTCTTCATGCATAAATCCCTCTCTTTGGTTTCTACAGTGAACATTAATAGAAGATCAAGTGTTATGTTACATTAATTTTTGTTATAACTACTCAAGGGAGAACAACTCATGCATGACATACTGGTACTTCTGTGGAGGTTATAGATGTGTCTCCATAATTTATAAGAAAATTGGCTAGAAATTGTGTGAAGTTTTGAGTGCATTAATTACATCAACAGGAGTATGTAAGGAGAGATAAGCAGTGTACCTGATAAAGCAGCCACTGTTTGTAGCAGTTATTACTTAAGTACTTTGTAAGAGTTCTCTGGTTTATGTTGTAGGTAAAATCTTATTTGCAGACTTAAAGCAGTATCCTGCATTGTTTGATCCAGAATTTCCTTTATTTTGTAGCCCTACATTGTAATTACAGTGCTGTACTCATAAGAGACAAAGGGCATTTCTGGTGAACCTGTGAGAATGAATAATATTTACCAGCAACATAAAATTATAAGCATTATTCTAATGTTTAATATTCCTACAGGTGTCTTTGGCAAGGCTGGAGAAATTCAAACGAATCTTTGTTTAGCATTTGGTCCTAATGATGTGACGTTTTCTGGAACTCTTAGTGGTGAAATTTACAAATGGAAAGGTCATAACCTGGCAGGATCCATCCCTAATGCTCACACCGTAAGTGAATTATAAATTCCAACTGTTTTATTCACTTTGAGTGGTAGTGATGGATATGCATGTAAACAGTAACTGTTTGAATGCTCAGGTTTAATGCTAAATTTGATTCACTGATTGAGAGCTGATGCGCACTATCATTACAAGCCGCAGCCTTGATTTTTGAACGAGCAACATTCGTTTTCTGGTGTGCATCAAACACACATCACGTGTGATATTATCCAGAGGGAGAGCCATAGAAGGAAATTACAATAACAAAGTAAATTTCACTTAAAACCAACATGACCTGTTGTAAGATTGGGCACAGCGGATGAAAGCCAAAGTGCGAAAAAAAACAAAATTCTGATAAGTCATCAAAACTAGTCACTCGCTCATGCCCATGAACACCATCAGGCATGTAGGGCGGCAACAAAGGATTGTCACCCCTGTCTGTTCTGGGCCAGCTTCTGAATGGTTCCAATGACTCTAGATGCCCATCACACCCAGTAGCGTTGATTTCCTCTGTTGCTGTTTCCGTAACAGGAGTGTTTTTACGGAACAGGTTTGTTAGTTCTTTATCCAACCCCCAACGTGGAAGACCAGTGGATCACACTTTGTCAGGCCTCTACCCCTCAACATGTCTGGCATGGGTGGCTGCACCAGGAAACAAATCTCCCGCCAGCATAGCTCTAGGGGTTTCTGAGACATGCAAGCCCACTGACTGCGAAATGTTGGCGATCCAGCAACTTCTGGCTGGCATACGATTGATTCCAAAAAAATCTACCGAATTATCCAAACGAACACAAATTGTGGGAAAACTGCAACTACATGTAGCCTGGGACCTGACTCCACATTGGGGGAAAAAGGAGAAAAAATAAATTTGGCGAGTGAAGGAAGCCGAGCAGTAGTCTGGGGATGGGAAAGGGTGGGGGAGCCTGGAGACACTCCTTATATGAGGCCAATCTGCCCTCCAGCAAATAAGCTGTCATTTAAATATCAACACATCAAGTTCTCATCACGGATGTCAGCCTGCGTGTATTGTTTCACTTTTTGAAAAAATATTTGAATACGCAGAGATGAAGTAAGAGTGCAAAGAGATCTTCTTAACTTTGATTGCCAACTGCTTTGGCGAGGTGAAATAAGACTCAAATAAAGACTTTTCTGAGGAAAATGTGCTGTGTGTGACGGGTGAAGAACAGACAAATAGATTTTCAAGGAGATTCCTCAAGTTTGCGTTACAGTGCTTGTTGACATAACTTCGTACCAGAGGAAATTTTGTTCAGTAGAGTTTATATTCCGCGGAGAAAAAATGAGTAAGTTTAGCACCTTATAGGAAGACTATTCAGTTCAAGTGTATTCCATTTGAATTTGTTGTCTGTTTTATAAGGTTTTTCTTGTCAAAATTATTTAAAAGTCAGTAATAATCATTTTCCTCAACCACTGCTCTCTCTCTTGCATGCATAGCTTTTAGCGTTCATGAAGTCGTTGGCGTTGCTTGTCAGTTGGGTAGTTGGTTTGTTAATTATGCTAATGACAAGCGATGCGAACAACTTCGTAAACTCTAAAAGCCATGCAAGAGAGAATCCACTGCTCGCAGGGTATCTCCATACAGTTGTGGTTTACGCGTTCTCGGAACACAAGGTTTAGCTGTATGCAACATGCATTCTGTAAATATATCCATGCCTTTGGTAGGAGCATGATTATAATGCTGTGCCTTTTGAATGTCGGTTTATAATTCAATTGCTTTGTAAATGTGACCTTAGTTTATCGCAGGAAGGTACTTATAGGAAAAATTTGATATTTGAATGCTTTTTTTTCTTTTTGCAACAGACCAAAGGCATATTTTCTGCTCTTCTTTGAGCCAAGGGATAAGCAGGAAGTCTCGCAAAGAAATTTGTATTGCTTGCCCGAAATCTGTGTTTGTTGAAAAAATCTTTTCCTGAATTGAAGAAGTGTGATTTTGAAAGAGTCCAATACTGTGAACAGCACCACAAATCTATCAACTTTGGGACTTTTGACCAATCAGAGCATGATATCAGAATCTGGTGTCATGGAATGGCGACATCAAAGGCATCTCTTCAGGCTCTGCCGCCCTTTCCCCCTCTTCCCAGCCCATTGCTTTCCTAAAAATCTACTGATTACTCAAGAAGACACAATTTAAGAAAGCTGCAACTGGCTAGCTAAATCACGAGCTAAACTGGCGTTTATTAAATGGACTGTCTCAGATCAATTATAGAATCACATTTTTTGGGGGATAGTATTGCGTGACTTATGTTTGCATCAACCTCGTGTATAGTATAATTATTTTTCAACAATTTTCTTATTCAAAAAGATAGTCTTGGTTGATCAAATACAAAGAATTGCTGGTTGCCAAGTCATAACAGTGAAAAAGAAGATGGGATATCCTAAATGTTGCGCATTATTGTAGATGGTTTGAGCATTTTGGCAGGATCAGGACTTTTTTGGCCGCATTTCTAAATGCCCCTTAAATTATAATATTTGCGCGTTATCAAATAGTGATCGAGGATCTACACAACCATGATTCTAATCCTGCCCTCGAACTCCACATGTGAGAGCCATATATCGGTGAACAAAGCTTCAGTTCCTCGGACATAATGCCAAATAATATCGAGAAACCATTGCCACATTGAATTATTGAACCCATTTTGACTGCAATATGTAACTTACTGAATATTACTTTGGCGGGTTGTTTGATGGGACCTTCATCAAGTGCCAGGTTTTGTCATTTGCTCTACCAAAAAATATTTCTTTTTTCGAAGACTTTGCGACTAGACCCCTTTTTTTAGGGCAAACCATGAAGTATTTTCATGAAGCAATTTAACAAGAAGAATAGCTTAGTTAAATATCTTACTCTGGCAGTATATGTGCGTGTAGTGTATAAGCTCTGGTGTTTGATGCAAATTGTGCCCTGTCCTAAAAGTGAGTGTATTGACTGATGAACTGACAGAAAGCGATTAATGTGTACACCTTGTGTGTGCAAAGAAAGTGTGTGAACCAACTACAACTAACATTATGCTCATAAGAAATATTGGAGAGAAACACTTTTAATGAGATTCTCAGACAGCTAAGAAAAAAGGTACCTGTATATTTGATAACAGATTTTGTTTGCATTTTTTTAAGGGTGCAATTTTTACAATGCATAGTAATAGTGATGGATATGCTACAGGATCAAAGGATGGAACTGTTATCCTGTGGGATAATGACTTTAAACCTATCACAAAACTGGACATGATTAACTCTCCTGTTGGTTACGAAGGTAATCATAAAAAAACATTTGAATGTATTCACCTCTATGTCATTTACTCAGAAGATGGCCTTGTAGTGTAGAAAATTTCTGAAAATCTGCAGTATATAGGAATTTATATTTCATACTGTCCAGGTAACTAAAGTTTCAAATCTTGGATACTTCAGTTTTAAGAAATAATGGTTAAATAATTACTGAATGAGTATTTTATTATGCTGAGCACTGTGGGTTGACTTGCATGAGCTTTGTTTTTCACTGGGTCCTACTGACCTGTTTCTTTTCTTCCCCTCTCATTACCCCCCAACACGATTGTTTCACTCAGCCATACCCATGAGATTCTGGTTTTCTTTATTTAGATTAGAAAGCGGTTTTGACTGTAACAATTGAAATTACCCTGTGAAGCAATGTTAAATATAAGTACAATTTTCTTTGCCAGGATTGTCTGTGAGGAGTACTTTCTGGTCAGGTGAAAAAATCCTTGTTGGTACAAACGCTGGAGAGATTTTTGAGGTCTTTGCAACGGAAAAAGACAAACCAAGAACTATTATACAGGTCAGTATTACCAGTAACGCAAATTAAGGGTATTTTAAAGAACATCATAGCACCCATGCAGAGATGTGTAGATTGAACTGTGAATCTTTGTGCCATTCTTACTGCTGTTTCCATTTGGGGTTGCTTACACTCCTACAACATTTTCACTCCCAGGAGTGCCAAAAATAAAAATAATAATAATACTAATAAAAAAACATGAACAAAAATTATTTTTGAATGCCATTAAAAAAACAAAAAGTTTCTTAGGAAAGTACTTCAGGTTTCATTTGAGTGGCAAAACAGCAGGATTTTGTCTAGAGCTGTATATCAACAGCCCTCATACAGAAAAAGTCCTCATGGTGACCAACATCTCATTTCTAATGATAACGTCACTGCTAAATCAAGTCTCAAGGTTATGCGAATCCTAGAACAGTGTGATTATAGGCCCAAGGTGCAATGAGCTATCACCCCATTTAGTGGGTGGGTGGGTGGGTGGGTGGTGGGGGGTATGGCTCTGAGGGGGCTACTTGTACAAGAGGAATAATAAATATTATCTTTCACTCTAGTGAAGCCAACTTATTCTTGAACAATATGTTTTGCCAGGTCATAGTCGACTTGGTATCAAACCAAGACAGCTTTTGATGTAGCGTTTGTGTTATAATGCTAGGGCCATGCTGAAGGAGAACTCTGGGCTTTAGCAGTTCACCCCAAGAAACCAATGTTTGCCACTGGCAGTGATGACAGGAGTGTAAGGTTATGGAGCATGTCTGACATGACGTTACTAGCACGAACAGACTTGGATCAAAAGGCTCGTTCTTTAGGCTTTAGTCCTGATGGCAGTCATTTAGCCGTGGGCCTTGGAGATGGATCATTCATGGTCTTAAAAGCAAGGTATGAAGCCAAATGATGTTTGAGTGATCTAGAGTTCTTGCCAAACCTTTTCAATATGAAGAGAACAGTTCCTTTTGTTAAGTGCTAGATTGAAAGCTACGTGGGAGGACAACTGGAGGCCATTACGTAGAGCTTACAAACATAGGCAGATGAAACATTTTTTGCAATTTGTTTAGAATAGTACAGACCTGTGACTCTTGTTATTATCAAGTTTTTTATTATTAAGTAACATCTGATTTTTATTTATGAGGTGTCATCAGATTTTGAAAAGGCTCATTTCTTATAACTGGATGAGGATCATCTCGGCAACTGCTATAGATGTCAAAACATCCGTAATCTGTTAGCTGTTCAGTTGACACATTAAAGAAATTATCGGTCTAACATGAAATTTCTTGCTGTCAAGAGAGTAGTTCATAGTGTTCTTGATTCCAATTAGGGACTTATCAGAAGTTACACATATAAAAGATCGTAAAGAGGTTATCCATGAATTAAAGTACTCTCCTGATGGCCAGCATCTTGCAGTAGGATCCAATGACAACTTTGTAGACATTTATTCTGTGACGCAGCGCTACAAGAAAGTTGGCGAGTGTAAAGGCAGCTCTAGTTTCATTACTCATTTAGACTGGTCTATGGATAGTAAACATTTGCAGACAAACTCTGGCGCTAGTGAGAGATTATTCTTCAAAATGCCAAGTAAGTTTATGACTTACACCAAACAAACTAAAAAATTACTAAGGTATATTTTCAGTTGTCCTAGTGATGCAAGGCACAATACAGCTTCTTGATGATCTGCTACGCGCGTTTCTCCAGTAGACAGCGGAACCTCGATATAACAAAGGGGTAAGGGACTGGCAAAATATGTTCGTTATAACGAGGTTTCGTTATATCGAGGTTCTTTTCCATATATTTTACTGTCACTGGGGTTAAAAAAAAAACAGTTCGTTATGTCGAGAACTTCGTTATATAGAGGTATTGTTTGTATGATAACTACAAAGAAATACTTGCTGACACTTTTGTCGAAAGTTGTTGTCTATTAACATTGAGAGAAACTTTGCTCAAGAGCAAGGAATATAAAAAAAATGAATCTATGTTAACTGTCCTTCTCTGCTTTCTTAAAGAATGACACTTTGAAATATTTCAGACTTTGCAATTAAATCGTCTGGTTCTACTCGAGTCTTGCAATCTCGTTCCCAGGGCTTTTCCCTTAGAAACCCACCCATTTTCTTAGGGAAAAGCCCTGGGGAGAAGATTGCGAGTTTTGAACATTTTGTTATATTACTTCTTTCTGTAATTGCTAGGACTGTAGATTACGAAACGTTGGGTTGTATTATTTTTATTACACATGTCAGAATATTGATATCCCAGAAGTAACCTATTAGCGTTTCAGCATCAACTATCTTGTATTTTAATTTTTCTTATAAGGTGGAAAGAGAATAGCGAACAAAGAAGAGATCAAGGCAATTCACTGGGCGACATGGACATGTGTTTTAGGTGTAGAGGTGAATGGTATCTGGGAGAAGTACACAGATACAAATGACGTCAACGCTTGTGATGCAAGCTTCCAGAATGAGGTTTTAGTCACTGGTGATGACTTTGGTCTTGTAAAGCTTTTCAGATTTCCCTGTCTAAAGAAAGGTAACCTTAAAGATAATCATCTCATAGATCAGTGCTAGCAGTATGGATCAACAAAGGTTGACAATCTTGAATAGGGGGAGCAGGTGATAAAGACCAGGGAATTTACAATATTGGCCGGCGTTCTGGAGGGTTTGCATTGTGGACCATGAGGTGAACATTATTGGCCAGGGAAAAGCTTCTGCTTTCCTGAACGTGCAAAAAGCAAACTTCTAAATTTGCTTTTCCCTTTTTCTCTGTTCTTTTTGCGCTCTCTTTCTGCTTTTCGCATAGTGATTTAGAAACAGTTGGAAATGTTAACGAATGTATTGTTCAATGACACGTCGAGTCTAGTTTTCCATTGAATTTACTACGTTTTTGGTATGCGACTTATCCAATTTACTAGAATTGCTCTTTTTTGCTTTCTTTGGAAGATTCTTACTGCAGAAGCTGTTTTTAAGGGCCTGTTTCGATTTTCTCTAGAAAAGTTAACATGTAAGTAAATTAATGTCTGCAAATACTTTTTTACAGGTTCTAAATTCAGGAAGTACGTTGGACATTCAGCTCATGTGACAAACGTTAGGTTTTCTCATGACATGATGAGAGTGATTAGTGTAGGTGGTGGAGATCACGCAATCTTCCAATGGCGTTACTTACCTGACGGTTCCCATGGTGATGATGGTGATGACGTCGATGGTGGAGCATACATGGAGTCGTGCAGCGATGAGAGTGACTCCGAAGCTTCGGATGCTGATGAACTTGACAGTGATATTGAGAATGTAAGTTACAGTTCACGTGTCAACAAGATTGTTTATTAACCCTTTCGACCATAGAATTTTCACCTTAAAAAAAGATTTTTAAGACTAAAGGTATTTAAAACTTTTTTGCAAGCCGGAAACTACGCTAGCTTTCGTTTCTAGCGCAAATATACAGCAAACGCTGAAGGACATGCGGTGTTATTTTAAAATAACTAGCATTGGAGTTTTCTTAGCACTGAATTACTAGTTTATTTTGCCTTTATCTCTGGACTGCTTGAAAAATCACTGTCATTTGGGCATCTTCGGGAGGGTTTCTCGATTTTTTTTTTTGCTGCGTGAAACAGTCGTTGAATCTGATGGCGTCATTAGTGACACTAGAATCTTGGTTTCAGCACGTGTCCTACGGGATTTCCAGGTATAAAAAGATTAAAAGATTGCCTTTTCATTCATCTCTGAAGCGTCTATTAATTCTCAATGTAGGAACGTCAAATTGATTATGGAAGGACACTGTATCGTGAAGATTTACCAGCCCTGAAAGAAAGAATAAAACAATCAAGAGATGAACAAGAAAAGGAAGAAAACGCGCCGCGTCAAAAACCTCCCAGTGAGGGGTTGAGATTGGAGTTTGTGTTCGGGTAAGAGTTGCATTTCAGAATATTTATTCAGTACAATAGCATTGACTTCTGCAGTATTTATATTACGCGTAATGACTACTCCATCAAGCAGGGCTTACAAAGTAAGGCTTGATTCCCAGCTTGTTCGTTGGGCATGCAGTTTTCAGATTTAGCGGGGCCATTTGCTTGTTTGGCTCAGTTAGTCAGGCAGTTAGATGATTGCCTAGACCCTTTTGTCGGTGACGTGACGTAATTCCTTTCCCCTACCCTCCCCAAAAGAAAAAGCAACAACAGAAAACAAACCATAAAAAACCCGTCCCCTCCCGTCTCATTAATCTTTCTAACTTTTTATTGTCAGGTACCGTGGCTATGACTGTAGGAACAATCTTTTTTACACTCAGAGTGGCGAGATAGTGTATCATGTTGCTGCGTTGGGAATTGTATATGATCGTGAGCGTCATAAGCAGAGATTCTATAACGCCCACACAGATGATATCCTTTGTTTGTGTATTCACCCAGTCAGGGATGTGGTGGCCACGGGACAGGTAAACAACGCCGGATCATCTTCTTCAGTCCAGTTTATTGCAGGGCTTAAGAACAAACAGCCAAATCTTCAACTGTTAATCTTAGGTTTTGTTGGTTTGTAAAAATTCAATACAGTCAATCCCCGTTAATAAGGACCCTGAGGGGGTCGTAGAAAGTGTCCGTATCAACGGGGTGTCCGTATTAAGCGAGTTGAATTTAGAGAAAATGTAAGGGCTTTCTTTCCCCAGGGACAAAGAAAACTGTCCGTAATATTGAAGTGTCCTTGTTAAGCAGGTGTCTGTAAAGCGGGGTTTGGCTGTACGGACGTTCATTGATAGAAAATTACACAAGGATAATAAGTCAACATTTCCCCCCAATATTTTGACCGGTTAGAAACTCGGCTTGACCGAGCAAAAATTTCGGATCATTATTTGTTTCTGGGAAACTGCCCACCCACCCCTCCCCTAAGCCAGCATTGACACTTACCTCTCAGTTAGGCCATTTGACTGTTGAATAACACCACAATTAAAGATCATCGTATTGAAATGTTCCCACAATTGTCACCGTTTTGTAACGCCTTTTCATTTAATTTGCTTAATTTATGTTGTTGGACCGAAGTAGTTAACACTACTTGCTATTCAAATTGTTATATTATTGTGTGCCTTTAATGTTACAGGTGGGACGCGACCCCGCCATTCATGTGTGGGACTCAGCAAAAATGGAAACCCTAGCCATTCTAAAAGGGCAACACGAGAGGGGCGTCTGTGCTGTGGACTTTTCAGGTTATACTTAAATACCAGACTACCAGCAGATTTTTTGTCAGGCAGTCTAGAGCGCAAGGATGCGAGCGAAGGCCCGAGAGGGGACTGAAGGAGAGGTTATCTGTTTCCGCTCCTTTCGAGTTTCCTCTCGTCTCTGAATATTTTTCGTCGTTCCTAGCTAGCGTCATGCGCGAGAAAAATGTAGTTCGATCCTTAATGGAGAGACATTTTTTCGCAAATCACAGACTGCGGCGGTACAGAACAAAACTAATTGAGCAAGAAGTTTTAACACTAAAAATGTAAATGTAAGGTGGGTTTGAATTCTGATCTTTGGTCTTCAGGTGATGGAAAGAAATTAGCCAGTGTTGGGCTTGATGATAATCATGTCATTATAGTTTGGGATTGGAGAAAAGGCGAAAAGCTAGCAACAACCAGGTAATAATAGACTGCTGTGGATGAGTGCACTAAACGATATTTAAAACAACGAAAATCGCTCTCAGAAACCAGTTAAGTCCATGTATTCATGATTAGAAACCTTGTTTACGATAAACAGGGTTATGAGGATTTGGTCTGTTTGCTCTACAGAGTCACTTTTCCATCTAAAATTGACCTAACAGCTGGAGCCTCCTGGTAACTGGCAGTTTAGAGTTTGCCATGGCCGGTTTAATTAAAGAACTCAAGACGCATTTTTATAGGGTTAATCTCAGTCAGGGGTGGATCTTTTTACTAATTCCAGCGAGTGGTTAACCTGTTCAACACGCTATGTATGTTGTAGGCACTTTTCGGCCAGCATCGAGTGTGAACATTCTACTTCCGAGTAAGACTAACCTACTCTGTATAAATGTTATTGGCGTTTATTTTCAGCGGTAATTTTGATAGAGAAAAATGGATAATTAAAAGCAAGAGACATAGTCTCTTGTTAAAAGCATATACAGTATACAACAACAGGGTAGGAAAATTTAGCTTAATTGTAATAAAGTCAACTCGTGCTGAAGAACGGAAAGTTTCATTGACATTTGGGAATTAACTGATGATTGTAATTTTTGAACTCCAGGGGCCACAAAGACAAGATATTTGTGGTGAAGTGGAATCCTCAGAACCCCGAGCAGCTGGTAACAGCCGGCATGAAACACATCAAGTTCTGGACGCAAACCGGTGGCGGTTTCACTTCTAAGAGAGGAACATTTGGTGATGTGGGAAAAAACGAGACAATGATGTGCGTGACTTACGGTAAAAACTCAGATCAAGTGTTCTCTGGAGGCGCTAGTGGTAAAGTGTATATTTGGCAAGGTAACGTCCTAAAAGGTGCGGTTCAAGCTCATGAAGGACCCGTGTTTGCCATGCAAGTCTTGGAAAAGGTAATGTGCAGTTAATTATCTCTAAGACGGGCAACACTGGGATCTTCACTTAGTTAACGTTTTAGGGAAGTGTCCATTTTATATAGAGAGAGCCAAAATGACTAAGGAAAAGCAGGGATCGCATAAGAAAGCTGTTTGCCTCATATAGGACAGGGTTGATAGTCAGTTTAGACTCTCTGTATTAGTAGAATGTCACTTGGGTCCCATCCAAAAGAATTCGAATATTTTTGAAAACGGATTAATATTTTTACACAAATCGACCTTCCGTCTACCCGAAACCAGTGAATCCGCTCACCAAAACCGCTATGTAGAGTGGGTTTACATGCCAGGAAATGAAAATAAAACTTCTTCAAGGTTAGGGAATTGTCAGGGAATTTCACTTCGAGTCAGGGAAAATTTAAGTCTTAGAAAGAAGTCTGGAAAAAGTGAAATTTTAAGAGTACATTAGTACATTTTACGGACACGAATCGTGTTGTATGGGTAGAATACTTTTCATGAAATTGAGGAATATGCTGATGTTGGGTTTTGAAGGAAATAATCCTTTTTGCACGTTATATTAAGGAACTATCGATTCATGTACATTGCTCGTAACCTGCTGGAAGCATAAATAAATGGGTGAAGGGGATCACGCTTTGAGGGGAGCGTTAGGTCCATTATCAGGACTAATTTGTGAAATTGTTAACTCAGTTGGTCAGGGAAATTTTACATTTGTCAGGAAAAGGTCAGGGAATTTCAGAAACCTGTGGCTGCGGCAAACACGCTTTAGGCCCCAATCCGGGTTAAAAAATGTGCTTGATTCGTGGAGACGGCGCTTTAGATTCTTATTGTGAATCAGGTAACAGATGAAAGTTACAAGAAACCCCGCTTGGTGGAATTAAATTTTGATGTTTAAAAGCCGTCTCATTTTAAGCCTTTCAGTAGGTGAATTGAGTTGACAACACGCGGTTTAAGAACAAGGAAATCTTCTAACAACCTAGCAGACTGTGGCTGTATGTCTTCGTGTAAAAGTTTACCAAGATGACGATTTCGCATGGATTACTACTAAACAGAGCTAATTGTCCTGCCTAGTGTTCATCATAGCAGGCAGACATAATTATCTGGCCCCAGTAGTTTAAAAGCTGAATAACGCTACCCCGGCATCGTATAAATCGTTCTCCATTAAATACAGCAATTTGTTTCACCAGCACTTTTCCACTGGATAGTGATTTATCCAGTAGGTAGCGCTATCCAGCGTTTGAATAACTGAAGCTTGTATTTGTTTCATATCTACAACACATTCTTTCGCT